ACCCTCTTCTTTAATTTTCAAAAATATTTTACGTTATCTTATTTTACTATTATTAATGTTTATAACATTATAGTAATTATAATGTTTGTAATAGAAATAACACTATCGATATTCATAGCACTAGTAAAAAATACATTTCCTGCCAATTCAAGGAAAGGTGAAATCAGGTAAGGCAGAGCCATCTATGTGTAGAGACATTTCACAAAAAAAAAATTTAAAATGAGCACAGCATTTTCCCCATTTTTTATTCATTTTGCCCGTCAGCAATGGGTTAAAGACATGTAGCTTGGTACTTCTACATAGGTACCAACATCTCCAAATGCTCTTGTTGATTGAGTTCATGGCTCCTGCTGCCAGACCAATCTGTCTACTGACTTCTTGGTCTGACAGCCCAGAAATATGGACTTCACTACCAAGGTATGCAAAGCTCTCTGGGACTTCAACGTCCTCACTTCAAGCACGCTACCGACTGACAGGCCCCCAAAGTCCTGAATATTGGTCTTGGTCCAGGAGACCTCTAAGCCCAAGGGCTTCGCCTCATTGCTGAATGCATCAAGAGCCGCCACTAGTGACTTCAGAGACTCAGATAGGATAGCAACCTCATCTGCAAAATCAAGGTCTGAGACCTTGATGTTGCCCAGTGTTGCTCCAGACTGACTTTGGATAGTAGCTCTGCCCAATATCCAGTCCATGCAGGTTGAAAAGTGTTGGTGTAAGGACACAGCCTTGCACCAACACCCTCACCCCTGAATTTACAGGGAAGAAGTTCGACAGACCCCCACCACACTTTACAGCACTTTCAGTACGAGTATATAGGCTTGCTATTAGGCAACCTATATATATATATATATATATATATATATATATATATATATATATATATATATACATTACTCATTGCTTTATAAACCTTTCTAATAAGTTTTCATGAATAGCTTTACAGCAATCTTTACTTCCTTAGCTGTGTAAGTTATTTTCTTTTCAAACTATACTCTGTGATATGTATGAATCTACAACTATGGATATATATCTATAAGAATAAGACCAATGAGCAGCTTGTTTCAAATTCTTCTGGGCTCCAGTTAGAATCAGTTCAACAGATTGAAATGTTAGTGCATTATCAGCTTCAGGGATTGTCACCCTTTGTCTAGAAATATATGAAGGAATTCTAACCAAGCTAGATCTAGAGCATATTTTCCCTAGATCCTATATTATTACTGGTAATAACATTATAGTAATGATAATGATAACATTGAGAGTCATGATGATAGCAACAGAAATGAAAACTATTTCATTTTAAAAAATCAAGGAATGAAAGAAACAGGTGAAACCAGATAGGCCTAGTATATAACTTCTTTTTGGCAAAGCACCAGTTCAGCCAAATGTTTGTAAACAAAGTAAATAAAACAAATCAGTGGGCAGTCCATGTACCCATTGTCAAAGGGTACGTGTATAATATATATTACCGGATATTTTTATTTTTTTATTTTATTATTTTTTTCTTATTCTCCTTCTTCTCTTAAACCAATTGCCCCATGTGGAACTTGTGTGTAATTACACACAAGTTCTACAAGTTCTTAGTCACCTCATCTCACCTGTTTACCCTTTTCCTCAACTTTTGGAAAGGGTCTTTTGCATTATTTCATTGTCTTAAATGTTATCAAGATTTTACTAACAATTTAATAATCATAACATCAATAACAATAATATCAGTATCGACGGCAACTGTATTTAAAAGAAAAACACATTTTCCTGCCAATTCAAGGAATGGGGAAACCAGGATCGGTCACTAGGGCTCCTTGCCAACTGAGCACATGTGGAGCCATCTGTATGTAACAACATTCACAAAAAACTACAGGGGACAGAACATAAATTCGGGGCAAATGTGTTTTAACCCATCACCCCCGGGTAATAGAAATACCTGAATGTGATAAACTCTGACCCATCTGTTACGGGTTAAGGAATACATGGTTTTTCCTTGGCTCTGGACCAGTTGGGAAATGGAGCTGAGGGCTTTGCAGATCAGGCTGTACCAACATAACTGATTTAATAAATGAAATGCACATTCAGCTACAAAATTACTTAGAATATGTATTGACAAGGAACTCTCGTCTGGTAGGCTTGGCAGAAGGCCTGTAGTGAAGGCTGGGAAAGAGGCTGGTGTGAGAGGAACTTTGTCTCTGGAGCCAATATGGAGATGATCCACGGAATGCGGTCTCAGGTGCTAGCCCAGCTGAGAGGAGCGGGGTTTGTGCGAGCTCGAGGACCTGGAGACATCAGGCAAGTACTAGAATTCATCATTAGTTATTTTTCTTTTTACCTTTCTTTCTTTTCTGTACATTTCTCTGCTGCTCAGTAAAGAAGTATGGGTTCATGATAAATTTTCTTAGTAAATAAGTTTTACTTGTGTATCACCAGACTTTTTCAGTCTTGGGATTTTTCCTCCTCTGTACAGGGATGTAAATAGCAACAGTGATAATTGGGCCATGGTGAAGGCAGCTCTGGTGTCAGGGATGTACCCAAATCTCATCAGGGTCGACCGAGAACAGTGTCAGCTGAGAACGCAGTAAGAAAGGTTTTTTAACTCTGTATGATATAGATAGGTAAGTAGATTTATAGATAGATAGACAGATAGAGAAACTTATAAATGCATATATATAAACACACATAAAATATATATATATATATATATATATATATATATATATCAGTGGTTAGAGCACTGGACTCCGACCCTCATGGTCCCAGGTTCAATTCCCTGTTGCGGCAGTTGTAAAAAATGCCTACGCTTTGACTGCTACCTCGAGCCAGAGAAAACAACATATTGGCTTGAGAAGTCAAACACAGGTGTCGTAGGGGAAGTCACCGCCGTGGCACAAGTGTTAACACGCCGAACCATTGCTGATTAGGAAGGGCATTCAATCAGGCAAGGGTGACACTGCCATATAACCTCTCAATGCTGAATTGAGAGAGGCCTATGTCCTGAAGTGGAATGAACGGCTGTTGAAAAAAAAAAAAAAAATAAATATATATATATATATATATATATATATATATATATATATATATATATATATATATATATATTTATACATACATATATATATACATATATATATACATATATATATATATATATATATATATATATATATATATATATATATATATATATATATTTATACATACATATATATATATATATATATATATATTTATACATACATTATATATATATATATATATATATATATATATATATATATATATATATATATATATATATATATATATATATATAATGTATGTATAAATATATATATATATATATATATATATATATATATATATGTATGTATAAATATATATATATATATATATATATATATATATATATATATATATATATATATATATATATATATATATATATATATATATGCATATATATATGTATGTATAATATATATATATATATATATATATATATATATATATATATATATGTATGTATAAATATATATATATATATATATATATATATATATATATATATATATATATATATATATATGTCGGGCCAGGCAGATTTATGGGATATACCTACGTAGAAATCATGTCCACCGGTGAAGGCCATGGTGTTCCCCTATTAGGAACCATTTTCCCTCACCCAAGATAACAGCCCCATTCACACAAGCAGGAAATTTGCACTGTACCACATCCTCCCAGATTACCAGATCTCAGTCTCATTGAGATTGTTTTGGGAGCCATGTGCAGAGACTTCCCCCAAGATCATACCTGTAATCATCATATCATTGTTACCCAAGCAGTTATGGCATAGGAGTGATTATGCTCTGCAGACAGACACCAGTTAATGGTGGTGTTAGTAGCCCCAAACCACTAGACTTGCCAGCATTTAGAGAAAAAAAAGGTTTTCTAGGGGTATATTAAGCTGCAACTGGATTTATATGGGTGGAATTAATAAAAAAAGCTAAAAGTTGTGACCCATGGGGTGGGGACAACTACCCCCCTGCACTCCCTCCCCAAAAAGATGATTGTGATAGAGATACCAATATCAGTCGAGCTCACAGCACTTTTTCCAACCACTTCATCATTGTATCATATTGTTAAGTCATAAAGAGTAAAGATACTTTTTTTTTATAGTGCCTGTACATGCAATACATATACATATATATATATACATATATATACAAATATACACATATATATATATATACAGATAGTCCCCTACTTAAGACCATTCTACCTATGAACATTCCATACATACAAACAAAATTTTTGAAGTACTAAAGTCCAAAAAATTGTTTGAAAGATGCTAGCAAACTTCAAATTTCCCATGTGCGAATAGAGTTCAAGAGTCTGGTACTATATAAGGTATGTCATACTTATTGGGATTTATTTACAGGTATTCTTAATGTAAACAAAACTTTAAAACAATGGGAAAAAGGTAATGGAGACCAGACTTTCGACATACAAACAAATCAACTTACAAACAGCCTCTTGGTCCCCATTATGTTCTTAAGTTGGGGACTTACTGTATATACACATTTAAGTATATATGTACATGTATATACACATATACATATGTATATAAGAATGATGGAATAATGCAATGCCTCATTGATATTGATAAATTACAACCATCCCTGACCAGGACTGGAACCTAGGTCACTCCAGGTATGAAACCTGAGGGCCAGTACTAAACCAACCATGCCACATGACCCAATAAGAGGAGTGTTCAACTAGAATCTAACTAGCTCCATAGACATTGCTTATGTACTCAATTTGTTTATTTAATTATTTATATGTATATGTAGATAGATAAATATTCTTATTCATATATATGTATAAATATTCATATTCACATATATATATATATATATACATATTTATATATATATATATTTATATACATATACATACATATATGTATATATACATATATATGTATATATAAATATACATATATATGTATATATACATATATGTATGTATATGTACCTATATTTATAATATACATGTATACCTAATATGTAAATATTTGTATGTATACATATATATTGGTGTATATACACATATGTATGAACATACAGATACATATATGAACATATATCCACAAATATGAACTTATATATACATATATGTACATATATATACATATATGTACATATATGTACATATATATGCATATATATACATATATATATACATATATATATACATATATATATATATATATATATATATATATAAATATATATATATATATATATATATATATATATATATATATATATATATATATATATAATATATATATATATATATATATATATATATATATATATATATATATATATATATCTATGTATGTATATATGAATATCTATGTATGTATATATGAATATATATGTATGTTTATATATATGTATATATGTATATATATGTATATATACATGTATATAGACACACGCACATACACATCAGAAGTACTTTGAGCCAGGCTAATGTCTTATTGATTCCCAACAGGAAGGAGAGCAAGGTGCGCCTCCATCCGACATCCTCCTTACTGGACATGGCAGGAAACAACACTGAGCCTCTCAGTGCTGCCCACAGAGCCCTGGTTAGCGCTTTGGCATCAGACTGGCTAGTGTATGATGAAATGGTTCGCATAGGAGTGGTGGCCCACGTCAAAACGGTGACCCTCGTGTCTCCTCTTACAGTTCTTTTGCTAGCAGGACCAATGCGATTGCCCCTTGATGCTCTGTCAGAACCATCAAGTCGTAAGTGCTTTTCTTTTCTAATTTTTTCTTGCTTTTTTAGAGCTCTTCTTGTTTGTTTGCCTGACATTTTACGTCTGTATTTTTAGAGTGTCCTCCTCCCCCTCCATTATTTCCTGCCATTTTATATCTGTATTTGTATTCAGTGCTTTTCTCTGTCTCTATCTCTCTCTGTCTCTATCTCTCTCTGTCTCTGCCTCCTTCTCTCTCTGTCTCTCTCTGTCTCTGCCTCTCTCTCTCTCTCTCTCTCTCTCTCTCTCTCTCTCTCTCTCTCTCTCTCTCTCTCTCTCTCTCTCTCTCTCTCTCTCTCTCTCTCTCTCTCCCCCCCCCCTCCCTCTCTCTCCCTCTCTCTCCCTCTCTCTCTCTCTCTCTCTCTCTCTCTCTCTCTCTCTCTCTCTCTCTCTCTCTCTCTCTCTCTCTCTCTCTCTCTCTCTCTCCCCCCCCTCCCTCTCTCTCTCTCTCTCTCTCTCTCTCTCTCTCTCTCTCTTTCTCTTTCTCTTTCTCTTTGTTTCTATCCCTTTTTCTTTGGCTCTTTTTTTCTCACTCATGATATTTAAACATTACTTTGTTTCCTTTCTTGTTGACACAGGAGGCAGTGGTGATTACAGAGACCCTCTCTCTCTCTCTCTCTCCCCCCTCTCTCTCTCCCCTCCCTCTCTCTCTCTCTCTCTCTCTCTCTCTTTCTCTTTCTCTTTCTCTTTGTTTCTATCCCTTTTTCTTTGGCTCTTTTTTTCTCTCACTCATGATATTTAAACATTACTTTGTTTCCTTTCTTGTTGACACAGGAGGCAGTGGTGATTACAGAGACCCTCTCTCTCTCTCTCTCTCCCCCTCTCTCTCTCCCTCCCTCCCTCTCTCTCTCTCTCTCTCTCTCTCTCTCTCTCTCTCTCTCTCTCTCTCTCTCTCTCTCTCTCTCTCCCCCCCCTCTCTCTCCCTCTCCTTCTCTCTCCCTCTCCTTCTCTCTCTCTCTCTCTCTCTCTCTCTCTCTCTTTCTCTCTTTCTCTCTTTCTCTTTCTCTTTGTTTCTATCCCTTTTTCTTTGGCTCTTTTTTCTCTCACTCATGATATTTAAACATTACTTTGTTTCCTTTCTTATTGACACAGGAGGCAGTGGTGATTGCAGTAGTGACAGTGAAAGTGAAGACCGTCCCATGGGTTTGAGTTGCCTTGTGAGAATTGACAACTGGATTCAGTTCTTGGGAGATCCTCAGGCTGCACACCTTGCTCTGCAGTTGAGACACAAGTTGCATGCATTGATTCTCAGGAGACTGCGTGCACCAAACAAGCCTCTCACTCAGGTATGTCTGCAGTGTCCAGTAAGAAAATTCAGGTCTTCACTCAGTATTCTGGGTATTTTCATGTCATATGACCATGATTTCAGTGTCTTTGAGTTTATCATTGTCAGAAGAATCATTCAAGCTCAGAAACAAAGTTAGTATTGTGTACTAGATTTTGATGTCTCATGAGAGTCCATAATATAATTGTCAGTTTTTAGTATGTTTTATTTATTTCTTGTAAAATCACTTCCTCATTAGTGTACTCTTTTGTATTGTGGCCCCTTTCCCCTGACAAGGCTGATGAGGATGTTGTTCGTGTAGTGGCAACGGCCCTGAGTCAGGAGGAGCAAGTCCTGAGCCTGGTGCAGCCCTCAGGTGTAGGCCAGCGTCCACGGCCACTTTATCCCCACAGCCACCCCCATGGTATGGCCTTTTGCCTGGTGTAACAGGTATCCCTTTTTCCTTTGACTTTCCAATTTATAAACTGTTGGGTTTGAATTACATTTTGGAAAGTAGGTTACAGCAGCACTTTAGAAAAGGATGAAAAAGTTTGCTTTTATGCTATGACTTTATTGTTTTTCTTATCTCTTACATTTGTGTCCTCTGTCTGATGATTAGCATTTGTTATGTTTGGGTTCAGCCTTAAGAGGACTATCCCTGAAGAAGCATGGGAAATGGTAAGGTGAAAGAGTACTTTATTACACATCATTTTACTGAAATCTATTTTTAAGTTAGCTTAATTATAGCAGTCCTGAGTCCGAAAGTTCTTGTTTTGCATATTATTTTTGTTGAGAAAACTTATAGGTCATATAAATGGAACTACAGGTTCAATTTTGGAAATTCGTTATTGTATGTTATATAATGGCTGCAAAATTCGTAAAAGATTATATATTTTGAATTCTCCAAACCCTATGTGTATTTTTTTGTGCATTATAATGTTCATTTTAAGAAGAAGAATTTTTTTTTGATATTGCTAATAAATTGTGAGTAGAGGGAAGTCGCAAAAAAAAAAAAAAAAAAAAAAAAAAAAAAAAATTAAATGACCTTCATTTTCCTTAGTTTTTCTTTCTGTTGCTCATTATTTCATTCAGGTTGGATGAATAGTCAGTGCACAGCATAACAAAATGGAAAATAATATGGCTATGATGTTAGCCTCTAACACCACCATGCAGCCTCTGTGACCATATAAAATGCCATTGTGTGCCCTATGATCACGTCAATGCACGTCTGAATTTATTTGTCTGCTTTCAGGCATCCTCTAGACTTTACTTCATACTCCAACAAACAGACACAGACACACACACATGCGTGTGTAGGCACATACATGTTTGTTTTTATTCACACATGCGCACACACACAAATACGCAAGTGTGGGTGCTGTATGATCTCCTCAGCACATGTCTGAAGTCACTCTCTTGCCTTCAGCCATAATCTACACTTCACATACATACACATGCACATGTGAGAGAGGGAGAGAGAGATGAAATTTTTTGAAGGTTTTCATTCATTTTCTTTATTTTTTTTTGCTTATTGTCAGCACCTGTAGACCAAAAGGAAGCCTAGACATTGCTGTTTCTGTTATTTCATTCAGATTGGATCAATAGTTAGTGCACAGCATAACAAAATGAAAAATGATATGGTGATAATGTCATCCTGTGATGTCATACAAAATACCATTGTGTGCACTACAATCATGTCTGTGTATGTCTGAACTTACGCACCCTCCTTCAGCCATCCTCACCACTTCATATCACACTCCAACAAACAGATGCAAGCATGTGCAGGTGCTTTCATATAGTTGTTTTTGAACTGACATCTATATGTCATAACTTTATCATATGCCATATGTTGAGAGCAAATATTAATACAAGAAGGGTCAATTAGCTCAAACTGAGTAGAAAATCACCCCATGTTGCTTATGCTCCTGCTACATACTGAAGTAGTCAGAGATGGACCCCCCCCATTCGCCATGACCCCCACCTGCTCAGTGGCAGTCCCCTTAAAGTTTCATCTTGCAGAAGGTGGATGGTCAGGAGGCACATCAGAAGACTCACAGTCTAGCCGTTCCTCATCTCGCCGCACAAGTGACACAGCAACACCAACCCTTACTCCAACAACACCCCCAGCTGGCCAGTCGCATCCCTCAACAAGTCTCAAGTTCTTGAGTGGCAATACCTCAATCAATAAATCAGTGCCTCCTGGAACAATTTCAAGCTCAGCTTCTTCATCTATCAGCAGCAGTTCAGTCAATGCCTTCCCTACATCACAGCTTTTGCTGACATCCAGTGCCAGTAGCAGCATGAGTTTCCCAACTTCAGGATCTTCAACTCTGACTGCTCCCCCCATCCCTGGTACCAAGTCCAATGGCAACCTGCTGTTAAATAGCACAAGTAAGACAACCACCACCTCCCCAAGTAGCCCTCACAACAGTTCTGGTGTGGCTCTTAACATGGCAAACCAAAATGCAAGTGGGAACAGCCACAACATTGCTTCTGGTGGTCGGAGCTCCACGGCCACCACATCATGTGCTATTGTAAGGCCCTCTTTCTCACCTAATGTTGGGGTGGGTGGCATGAATAAGCCATGCACAAAAGATCCAAGGGGTAAGTGTGACTCCATTCTTTTTGGAATTATGAGAACTTGATTTGCATGTAGTCCTGGCTATCTCATATATATTTCATTTGCTATACAATCCTCTTTGATATTACTGCTATTTTTATATCCTACTATGATGTGCAATAATCATAGTAAAATTTGGCTCTTAATTTTTATTTTTTTACTTCCAATATAAATATTTTCCCCATAATTCCGAAGTTAAAATTTCTTTTAACCCATTGGCAATGGGTATGCATATTGACAACTGTGGGTTGTATTGTGAATTTCGTTGCTCGCCGATGGCTCCAGAAGTGCTTAGCCACCAAATTGATTTCCATATTCCTTGAATTTTCAGGAAAAGTGTTTTTTTTTTTTTATGCTATTTGGTTGGATCCAGGTGCCTTGCAATCTGGGCATTAGACTTACCTGAGTGGCCACTCTCCCAGGTGTGTGGCTTGAAGACCCAGCCTACACACTCCTTGCCTTCTCTTTAAAATGCTATTATCCATAAGCATTTTTTGCTATTTTGCAATTTTTACAGCCTATATTTCACATTTGTTATTCTGTATCAAGATAGTAATGACAAGTTTTGTTCAGTAGACTCATTTTATCTTTAAATAGTCTGCAACTCTGTGTAATAACAGTAACAATAATTTACATATTTTATTTGTGTCATTTTTTAATATAAAAATCCAGTGTTAACCCCTTCGATCTGGGTGCTTCACTGCCCACACAGGACCCAAAATACTTACGTAGCCACTCTGACAGATATGTAGCTTGTAGGCAGGGCACAGATGACTACTCATGTGCAGTGAGATTACTCCATGTCTCTCCTTTGCAATAATATTTTATCATTTTCTACACTTTCTCTCCCCATTTTCCAGTGGATATTTGTCATTTGATTTGTTGTATCTAGATAGTGATAGACTATTTTCCTTGCACAAACTCCTTATCATGTCTCTAGGTAGTCCATGACTCAGTTCAATAATAATTATATTAATATTTTGTTATTTGTATCTTTAATTTTTTTTTTTTTTTCATAATATTCAATTTTCTGTAATACAACCCATGGTCACGACAGGTAAGAATAGGATTGTGAACATGGAAAGAGAGTCCCCTCTGGAGTCAGTGCTCACCCAGTCATGGCTCTTGTTTGTTACATTCCAAAATTGTTTATCAATTGAAGTAAATCAAAATACCCTCTGAGACTAATCACCCACCTTCTGCTTTGTGCACTCATGGCAAGTCATTTCCGTCACCCTGGCCTTCAGCTGAAATTCTCATGAAAGCAAGGTCTATCATGCTGTCCTTCAGCCAAATTTTCCATGATGACATGTTCACTTTAACTGGCTGTCAAGTCAGGTTTATTCATGATGTAATGATCACGTCATTCAAATTGTAGGGCGAATATCTATATACTGTTGTTAATATTTTTTGCATGATTATTAGAATGTTATAAAAGAGCTACCAACAGTAGAAAATGAGAAAGAATCTTGAGGAAAATCAAGATGAGATAAGTAGCTTAAGTGATTGACTCTTTGGTGACTAGTCATATGATGTCATCAGTGCACATATGATTAATTAAATGCTATTTGCCATAGTTAAATCTTAGGGTGGCCTGTATTGCTATTTTGAAAATCAGTATTCAAGACAAAACACCAGAAAGTATAAGAGGATTCATCATGTCTTTGCATTCTGTCCCATGTGCACCAGTGGTGTGAATGATTGTCATAATTCCCCATTTTTTTTCTTTCCTTTCCTTTTTGTAGGTGGCTTAGGCAGTGGCCTTGCAGAGGGTGGGAGCAATGGGGGCAAACCCAGGTTCTTCATCATCAAAGCTTCATCATATAAGCAGCTTGAGGCATCTCACCATACAGGGCTTTGGGCCTTCACGCACAACACGGAAAAGAAAATTATACAAGCCTTTCAGGTAGGTGATGAAAAACCAATAATGCTAAATAACACTGTAAAACTTATATTTAATCAGAATACGTATACATTCTATTACAAGATCAATATTTTCACTGTAATTTTATTCCATCATATTTCCATTTTTCAATGAAAGTCATGATGGTTATTTTCTTCTAAAACACATATGTATTATGAAACGGAAAACAGCCACAGTAAGAAATGAAAATGAATTGTAACGTTTTGAACTCTTCACAAGTTCTTCTTCAGAAGAATAATAAACAGAAATGGATACAAGGAGAGAATTTTGACAAGAATATATAGTGGTTGAGAGACAACAAGCAAGCTGAATCAGGTCTCAGGAGGAGGGTCAAGGTTGTTGAGTTTTCTGAAAAAATTATCGAAGTCTGAATGGTTCACTTGCGACAAAGAAAATATATCATCAACATAATGAAACCAAATCATGTTGGGAGGGAGAATAGACGGAAGGAGTTCAGATTCAAATATCTCCATGTATAAATTTGCAAGGCCTTCCTATAACTCATAAAGAAGGCGTCCCTCTAAGGCCTATTATTTTGTCTTGCAACTCCATTACCCATCCTTTAGACTCTTGGCGAGCGAGCGTTTTGTCTCCTTATATGGGATGATTTTCTGATAGTCATATCAAACATTTGATGGATTTCACGGATAAGGTTAGAAACTTGCTGCCACACGGTAAGAAATTAGTGAGTGTTGTATATTTCTTGTTCAATAATGTCCCCCCTTGATGATGTGCTAGATTTCCTTGAAAGAAAACTTTCTTTATCTCATAAGAAGATCCCTATTCTGGTCAATTGCTTTATCGAACTCATCCGTTTGTGTGTCACAAATAATGTCTTTAATTTTTACGGTGAATTTTATAAACAAATCAACGGTATCGC